GCCCAAGCAGACCCGGAACAGCGCGCCAGCATTGCCAGGTAACGTCACGTATAGCCTGAGAGAATTGTTTTCAAACAGAAAAAAAAAAACTAGAATTATTTGGATTTCGTGAACAGATGGTATTTGTACAACAGATTCTACAGCACATACATACACTGTATTTAGGAAATGGCTTTCGCTGATTGGTTAAATGGGTCGGGCCCAGGAGGTAGACGGGATGAACGGAAGACTAAGGGGAAACCTGATGAATATTGTGATAATATTTTTATCATATATATACATATATATATATACTGTATATATATATGTGACTGTGTATATATATATGTGACATATATATGTATATATATATACATGTGTATATACAGTATATACCAGATTGGATATGATGATAAGAATGAGAGAAGAGATAAAACAGCATAGACAACGGAAGTAATAACCCAAACTGATTTTTTTTTTTTATTATGAGTAAATTAATATCTCAATTAGGAGAACATCAGTCAACCGGTATCCATCCTGCATGATCATTTTAAACGATCATGTTTCGGTTACAACAGAGAGATGACGGTCCATTAGATCAGTCAACACAAAAGTAAACCCAGCTAGTGATAAACGTCATTAAGGGCGTTGTAGATAATAGGGCAGATCCTGCTTTAATACCGTGTGAATAGGCCGTAAGGTGATGGAACAAAGTAGTCTGAACAGGAAACATTCTGTTTACTGTACATACAGTGATGTTTATCACTACGTACTGGGTCGTTGGGGGAATTCTGGGCCCCAGCAAAGGATGTGACTACATACCCCGTATGTAACACTTACAAACATCTATTTCGACAAGCTGAACAGAATGCACTATTTGATGGAAGACTGATAGCCACGACAAGAAATGTCTCAAAGCAGTCATTTTCATTAATTTCATAATAAAGTCATATTTTTTGGAGCCCCTATCAGTTACCCTTGGAATGCCCCTCCCACCCCCGTACAGTACCACCGACTACAAACGATGCATTCTGCAGACCAGAGATGTTGCACCAAGTGCTTATTTGCATCATGAATTTGCATCACACTGCTGTTGCGCTTCCTCTTCACATTTTAGTCCTCCGGTCCACAAATACTAATCAGTACAAGAAGTCCTTGCCGCTTTAATTTACACTTGACCGTATTATGATGCTGCGGGAAAACACTGTGTTTAAAACCTACGAAAAGTAGAAAACGTTTGAACTTGACACATCGTTTGAATATGTGTTCAAAAGTCAAACCAGAACTACTAAGAGAGCACAGGATGTCTGCTGCTCGTCCTGGTGAGCGATAGCATCTGCTCCAGCCCCACAAATGGGAGCTGCCTCAGATAACGTGCCGTAATTAGCCTGAAGGAAAAAAAAATATATATATAAGAGAAACAAACAAGGGTCCGAGTGTGCCTCCCGTTACTCTCCCGCAGATTTGCCGAGTCTTCCCGAAACACTATGGTTTATTAAGAGTTCACAGCAGTTCTGGCGTCTCAGTGACGATGAATATCTGCCAACGTTTGTGCTCATGCTTTGTGACAGATATGGATGAGGTGGACGCGGCACAAGCTGGGACCAGCGAGCTGCCACGACTGCAGTGGGCTGCTGCGCAGGAAGTACCTCTGTGGGACATTAGCAATTGTGTCCTGCAGGAGGGGCAGATTCTCATATCCCCAGAGGACGAGGTAGAAACCGATCGATGTCACACGTCATGCACGAACACTCAGCTCTAAATGAAAGTCAAAAGCATATTGTGTCTGTGTTTGCGTGTCTGTCTCTTAGCCAACCGTGTGGACCAGGAACCGTTTCAACAGCCTGTCCAACAACAGCATGCAGAACCTGGTAGACATCGACACAGGTTAAAACCCCACACATCTTACTTATATCCTACCTTGTCCCCCTGTGTCCTCTTTGTCTCATTTCACCTTTTCTCCTTGTCTCCTCCTTCCCTCTGTCCTTCCTTAACTCTAACCAGTACACCTTTCTCCTCACCTCATCTCCTTTTTCCCTCTTGGTCGAGTAAAAAGACTTGAAATACTCCAGTGATACTACAAATGTATAAAGGACATTTTGAGAAGCAGTTTATTATGATTTAACAATGGCATCCTGTGTTTAGCAGGTCTTAAGGTTCAGATGTTAACATGATGTTGTTTTTTGCTGTTAGCAAGCAAGTCAACAACTCAACGTGACTTGGAAAAAGATGAAACGTATACATTCACAGTATATTCTTGTATATCATATAATATTAGTCTGATGTATCGCAGTTAGGCTAACTGAGGTCCATAGCAAAGAGGCTAAAGAGCCACAGGTTGCAGATAGGGATGTATTGTGAATGGGTCAAAAATCAATACAAATGCGTGAGAGTCCCATAAGGCGTAGGGTGTGTTATCTCAAAACCTCAGACACATAGAATGATTTCCTGTAAGGAAAGGAACTCTTAATGTTTTGTAGTTCTTACAAATAAAGGATCACTGTGTTTTGGTCATCTTTTGCCCGTGATCTCATTTTGTTTCAAAATAACCATGATACAATCACATTGCAAAAAAACAAAAAAAACAAAAACAAAATGCGAATCTTATCCTATCGTGAGTGTATCTCTACATTTCAAGCTGCATCATAAAAGAAAATTAATTCCGATTAAAAACCCCAATAAAAATCAAAGGCAGTCATCAGGAAACACTCGAGGCACCCGGTGACATCGTCCTCACTTTGAATGTTCACACACTCACAAAGGAAATGGCTGAAAGTTAATCCGGCACATGACTGTCAAATCGCTTCCTTTACGTTTTTTTCGAAAATGATAGCATCGTGCCTGCGTAATCTAACAGGCCAGGGGAGGATTGCTAACTGAGAAGAAAGAGAGGGGAGGGAGGTGAGGGAGTTCACCAAGTATCTGCTTCTGTTCAGCTCTTTAGAGTCTCTAAAGACAGTGGACAGTGAGTGAAGTCAGACACAGACCTTCCAGGGCAAATGATGGGACTTAGTCGCTGGTTTGTTTGTGGTGGTGCTCTGGGTAAGATTACGACAAACGCAGTGAATGTGTATTTGTCTTTCATCTTATATTATATTTAAAGATAAGGTCTGTGGGTCGTTGTGGCTTGTTTATTTTTTTAACTTATTTTTTTTACGTATATTTAGACATATTTTTTCCGTTTTACTGCAAAGTTTAGGTTGAAAGACGCATGCATTGATTATGCATATTGTGTGTTATATTTTTTTGACAATTTATTTTTTTCCTATCATCAGACTGAAAAGTCAGATTTTATATCTACGTATTTGTGTGACTCTGAATATTCCTTAGATGTAAGTATTAGAGATAACAACACAATCTGGTTGACTTGCTTAAAAATATCTTCGCTAAAAGCCCAGGAAAAATTTAATATCTACACCTGACTCAAAAGATGATAAAACCGAATCTAAAGTTCCCACAAACAGAATAACCAGGTTATTTTTTTACTTTTTAAGAATGTACTCCAGACCATGTTGGCCTGCCAGGTGGTCCTCGGCCGGAGAGCCATGGTGGTGTAAAGGTGAGCAAAAAATATTTAATTTCCTGTTGGTGAAAAAAAAAATCTGCTCTCTAAAATATTGCATGCTTTTTTCACTTTTAGGCACTGATCAAGCGACGACTACTGGAGAACAAGGCCAAGAGGAATAGTAACACCCAACTTAACCCAAATGCCAAAGGATCCAGGTTTGTTCTAGGACATATTTCCGTGCCATATTCCATAGAGAAAATCCTCCATTTTAGCTGACAACAACACTGAGGCTGCCAACCCTTGGTAGCTTCGTCAGAAACATTTTGTTATGGTTCTTCTTCTTCTTGACAGTCCTGAAACGCTGGTTAATTTCACGAGTCACCTCAGCACCAGCCTCGCCTGTCGTCAAGACAGACGACGACAGATCAAATCCAGTCAACGTGTCACTCAACAGTGCCCATGTTTGTTCTTAATACTTTATTTTTCCCTACTTATCTTAGGCGGTACAGTTCTCGTGATTCACTGTCGATTCCAATGGAGAGTCTGGACCTGAGTGCAGACGTCACCACAGTCATCAGACCGGTCCACAGCTCCATTTTGGGAGAAAAATACTGCTTTGAGGTGGGCTGTGACTCAACATGATGACCCATGTGTACATCGGGATTCGCCTCGTGCAGTTTTATGATTCCAAAATGTGACAGGTACCATTGTTTTGCTTTGTTCTAATAGGTGATAACTTCAGACAGCACACACTGCTTCGGCTGCTCCTCAGCGGCAGAACGTGACCGTTGGATTGAGGACCTCCGACGAGCCGCCCAGCCCAATAAAGTAAAACTTTGATTGATGATTTTTTTTTTTTTTTTTGTAATTCTAGCAACCGATTTAACTGAATCAACGTTTACAGGACAACATTGGGCGAACAGAAAACTCCATGAGCCTGTGGATAAATGAAGCCAAGGATCTCCCACCCAAGCGTCGTTACTACTGCGAGCTTCACCTGGATGGCGTCCTGTTCGCTCGCTCCAGCAGCCGTGCGGTTCAAAAACCATCGAACCACTCCGGTCTGGCCGGGGACGGTTCGACCAGTTCCTCGGGAGGGTTGGGGGCAAGTGGAGGTGCCACCGGTGGGGGTCAAATTTTCTGGGGCGAGTTCTTCGAGTTAGACAACCTGCCCTGCGTCTCCCAGATCACCTTGCACCTACTTCGCGAGGAAGACCCCAAGAAGAAACGCCACTCCAAAGATGAGACCACTTTGCTTCCGATGGGCAGCGTGGCCATTCCTTTGGCCGACATCCGAGGGAGGACCTATCAGGAGAAATGGTATCCTATCACTCCGTTCAAGGCCTCCAGCACAGCGGGGAACAAAGAGCTGCTGGGAACCCAGATGTCACTTCGCATTAAAGCCCGTTTCCAGAACATGAAGGTGCTGCCCATGGAGAAATACAAGGAGTTTGCCGAGTACGTGATGGTGGATTATGTCGAAATGTGCCGTAATCTGGAGCCACTCCTGAACGTCAAAGAGAAGGAAGAGCTGGCAGGAGCTCTGGTCCATGTTCTACAGAGTATCGGGAAAGCCAAGGTGATCAAACATCCGCAGCCATTTATCGTTCTGCTGATCAAACATCCGCAGCCATTTATCGTACCAGAAACGAAAGAGTTCTGTCTGTGTTTTCATTAGCCACGTGATAACAATAGTTAATCTCAAGGTCCACCACCAATAATAACACTTGTTCTTCACTTCAGGAGTTCCTCATTGATTTGGGTGGTGCCGAGGTGGAACGCCTGGGAGAGAAGGAAGCGCTCATCTTCAGAGAGAACACGCTGGCCACCAAAGCTATAGATGAATATATGAAGCTGGTTGGCCAGAAATACCTTATTGACACACTAGGTGAAGTTTCGCAAAAAGGTTCCTGTAAATGGAGGAGCTTCATTCGCTGCTTTTGTATAACTGTCTCTGTTTCACTGTCTTTCACTGCAGGGGACTTCATTACGCGTCTCTATGCCTCCGCCGAGAACTGTGAGGTCGATCCCCTAAAATGTTTATCTGCCTCAGATTTGAACAACAACCAGAGGCACTTGAGGGAAACCTGTGAGGAGGTAGTGCAAAAGATAGTCGACGTCCATGGGTGAGAAAAACAAACTCACAACTGTCAGACACGAAAAGACATTGAAAGATATTGAACCACAGAGCTGACGTTTCATCGCGCTGTGCCTCCAGGTCTTTCCCTGAAGAGTTAAACAGAATCTTCTCCAGCTGGGCAGAGCTGTGTGAAGACCAGGGCAGACCAGAGATCAGCCAGCGCCTTATCTCTGCTTCTCTCTTCCTGCGTTTCCTGTGTCCTGCCATCCTCAGTCCGTCTCTCTTTGGTCTCACACAGGCGTACCCGGAATCAAACACCCTGAGAACGCTAACGCTAACTGCCAAAGTCATCCAGAATTTGGCCAACTTTACCTTGTGAGGATGGTTGCACATGATATATCGTAAAATAATGAATAATAAATTCAAACATCCAATTTTTCCCCCCCTAAACTAGGTTTGGTGAGAAGGAAGAGTACATGCTCTTCATGAATGAGTTCTTGGAGCAGCACTGGAACGGAATGAGGACATTCTTGCAGACAGTTTCCAGTTCAGACACTGAAGTCCCGATGACTTCCTTTGATGGCTACGTTGATCTTCCTCTGCGTCTGGCTGTGCTTCATGGTCTGCTGGTGGACATCATTCGCCAGAAGCATCAGGTAGGATTGAAACCACAGGTGTCCAGGAAATCCTTCATGTGGACTTGTCCCTGAGCTTGTTGGGGAACCAGCAACCAGCTGGCTTTTCAGCAGACTTCAAGTACAATGCCTACTATTTGAAGTATCAAATTACGAATTATGAAAAAGTTCAACCTCTGACATATGGACTACGTATGGTCCGTGTTTTGACATTGACGCGACGATGTCTCTAGTTCCAAGTGCCATTTCCTACCGGTCAAGGTCTCTGTGTGAGACTGCGATGTATCGTTTGTGCTTGACAACGAAAGCCTGTGTTTGGTGACTGAGCCATTACTCGTCTTTTCTCAGGATACTATTGACAGCCTGCACCCGCTGCCATCAATTCTGAACCAGATCACAGAGTTTCTGGGCCCTGAGATGCCTCGAATCCTCATCAACAGGTACGTCAGACAAACTGTAGCTGAAGACATGAAGGTGGAGCTGTCGAAGGGGCTTTTCCTTACAGGATTTGTCTTAAAGCAAAACAGGTCAGATCAAGCCTGTCTACGTTCCACCGAAAGACTTGAAGAATTACAGTCCCCACCAGTCGTCCATGCAGCAGCTTCCAGTGGACTCGAAAGGCTTGCGAGATGGGTATGTCAAGCTGGAAGTAACTGTTAAGTAACAGGAACGGTTTTGCTATGTGGGAAATGTAGGACTGTTGTACCGGAGGTATAAAATTATTGTTTTTTAAGAGAAATTCTATTGGTGTGCTAGAGTCACTCTAGTATATATTAGCGTCTAACAGGCACTCACGGCTTTGTAGCGTCAGTATCCAATGGATTCCCAACGCAGACCCGCAACGGGTCTCAACCATTCGGCAAATTGGCAGTCTTTTCTAAATGTGTATGGGCAATTCTGCTGCTTACTTTTACTTTCTCCAAAATCTTTTTTGCCTCCCTCCTCCTCCTCCTCCTTCCCGATAGTTGTTTATTTGCCCTTGGTTATCATGACTACTTTCCGGACCTGACGATTGTCTCGTGGGGTGGGCGCAGCAAAGCATTCAGCTAATCATGCTTACAGTTCTGAGACAAAAACATGGACGTCACTCGTAGCTCACATTTAGAAAAGCACAATCGACAGTATAGCCTTCAGTATTTACAAAAATCTCCGGCGGACTGTCGCGAGAAAGAGAAGAACTGGCAACGCTGTATCAGACCCTGATATCTCTGGAAAAGTATTTCCATTGATCGAAAGAAAGTTTGCACATGAGCTAATTTACATTTAAACAAAGAATACCTAGAAAATAGTAATTGCAAGATCTATTTGGTATGCTGGACTCCGACTTAGGCATTTCCTGCTGCAAGTTCCTAGGTTTATTTTATTGTAGAAAAAAGGCTGCATCATTAAAACAATATATATATTGAGCTCAGTCTGAATCCACCTGATTTGGAGACATGGTTCCCGAAATAATGCTTTGTACTTATTATTCTAAAGAGATGTTAGGACTCGGAAGAATACACGAGAGAAAGCGCAAATCAAAAGAACCCACAGCGCCCCCCACCGACCTACAGCCTACGCAAAACGTGCCCTAAAAAGGCAGACAAGTTCGGAAACTCTGCCCACATCTGAACCCGATCAAGAAACGGAGACCAGCCCCCTGGACATCTCACAGCCAAATACTGTGAGTGAATCCAGCCCGGAGAGTTAAATCTGGTTTATTCCGTGTGTATTTTATCCACGTACTGTATTTCTATCATTTTTCAGAGCGTCAGTGTCAACCGTACGCCCGCTGCACCCGTTCCCTGGATCAAAAACGGAATCGGGAAAGAGCCTAGTGAGATGAAGGCCGAGAACGAGGAGTTCAAGATACTGGACAGGGTAGGGTCAAAACCACATGAAGTAATGATGTATGTATATGCGTTTATGTAGATCACTCACTCAAGCACAAACCAAAGCTTCTAAACCAATGCTGGACTCAGAACACGCCTCCCTAAACAAAGCGCCAGAAAATAACCAATACTCCTCTCCAAGTTGAGCTGCATTTAAGCCAAACACATTCTAAAGCTAGACATTTTCTTTTTCGATGTTGAGCCAAACAACCCTTTGAGGCCTAACGTAGAATCAAAAAAGTCTTAGGTTCAAGAGTTGTGACAAATTCTAGATGTTAGCAGTAGGCTACCATAGACTTCTAATTCATCAACATGTGGGGTAAGTGGCACAGATTTCATGGCTCATCGTTAGGCCACAGTAGGTTATCTTAACCAATCACAGAGACAGACATTTTTTTTTTCCCAATGTGAGGTAGAACATGACATTAACTGTGGCTTTTCATTTTTGACTTTGTCGACAGCACGATCAGGAGCTGTCAGAGCTTCGTCTGGGAGTTGAACAGGTGACGGAGCGAGAGCTGGACATGGCCAAGCGTCTGGAGGATTTCATCATACAGAGTCAGGACCACAATGCAATGCTGCAGGCAGAGGTGACTGAGCTGCGCAGTATGCTGGCTGAGAGGGAGGAGCAGCTCACCAGTGCCACCTTCAGGTAAGACTATGGAGATTTTAGTATTTTAGTATTTCTTGTTTGTGGTTAAAAGTTATCATTTGCAAAAAATGCTTTGAAGTAAAGCTTTAGCTAACGTTTGCTACCTTTGGCTGTTTGTGAGCTAGCTTAATGTCACATTTTGGTTAGTTTCATCCTCTATCTTTGTTTGTTAAGACTTGGTGTGATTGAAGAGGAAAGAGAAGAACATGACAGGAACCTGAGCGTCGCACTGGCAGCAGTTGATCGAATGAACGTACTGGTAAGATGTTTCTCACAATTTCCGCAACATATTGCTATTTTTGGGAGCTTTGCAGGGCATTTCCTGTTTGACTGAAATGAATCAATGATGGCTGTTTTACGTTTGCCTGCAGGAAGAACAGTTTGCTGTTCTGATGAAGGACCTTCAAAAACTCAACGAGGCCCACAACAGCAACAACAGCGGCCACAACAACACACAGCATCCAGACAAGCATCACGTCAACAATGTCTGAAAAATCACAGTTTTGTACATTTTCTAAATATGCAGCACATTCAGTTCACCTGGAGCTTGGACAGTTTACTAGTTATAAGTAAGTTTATATCGTTCACGATGAATCCGTAAATTAACAGTGACTCAGGTGAAACAAAGATATTATCTTCATTTAGGTTTTTACTGTATCTCAGCTAAAAACGCATTGCACTCTAAAAGCTTTCAGAAAAATAAAAAGAGATCAAACCCCTTTTCTTTCCTTCTTTATCTTGCGAACAAATAGCCGTTGTTTGCGTGTTGTAGTTTGCCCTTTTTTATTTTTCTAACTTTTATCATATATAAATATGTTTCATACATCAATATACATTGTTTTCTGTCAAAAACTCTTGTGTTCTTCTTGTCTTACAGATGTCGTTGCATCTTGAATCAAAATTAAAATCTACATTGGTCCATTACGTCTACATATTTTTGATTAAAATCTCTGTTAAAATCATGCCATCTTTATCTCCCTGGTGGTCTAGTGGTTAGGATTCGGGTCGGCCCGGGTTCGATTCCCGGTCAGGGAATGACGTTTTTTCCCACTCATTTGTCAACGACGAAAAGTAATTATCTTATCGGTATCTGTAACTTGATTGACTAGCTCACATACCTACTACCTATCCGTTTGTAGGGTCGCGACACTGTGCAATTCGCCACTCCATCGCGGGACTTACTGTACTAATCACAACATGGGAAATGATAGGACAACACTTAAGGACTATAAAATGTGGTAAAATGATACATTTAAAAAAATACTATAAAACCTTTAGTGGAATACTCTCAGTAACTATACAATGCAACGCCAGAAAAAACCCGTCCAATGTTTTCTACGTACGGCCAGAAAGTCGTTAATGACGTCGGGCCAACTTAAACATAATTAAACATAATTACGTTGCAAGAAGTGTTTCCTTTAAAATATTATTCACTTCTTATTATTATTAGCCTTAAACTAATACTAATAGTTACTGTACATACAAATTTAATAAACAAATACAATATTGTCCTAGCGTAAATTGGCAGTGCAAACGACGTGGCACCTTACAACCACTGGGTGGTGCTAAAGGACTTCTTTCCACACAAAATGGTTTCTGTGACTTCCCTTCTGCGGCTGCTGCCTGCCGTAGTCACCGCAACAGAAAATCAAAGTCTCTTAAATATTCGCTGTGTACGATGTAAATGCTCAAAATAATTGTTTTACACTGCACATAACGTAAAGAATCGTTTTCCTATGGGACATGAATATAAGCCATCAAAATACCGACAAAAATGATAAGTTTCAGTCTCAGAAACACAGAAGGCGACAAAAACAAATACAAATACAAATACATGTAATCTTTCCTACATGCCTAAAATACTTTATTAGAAACAAAATATCGAACAAAATCAAACAACACTGGCACTTTTCCGGCAGCAGCCGCAGTTTCTGTAGCGTCTGTTAATCACGGCTGTACTTCCTCCTGTTCATCACTGTCACGCAGCTCATTAGTTCTCATCATGTCACACACCTTCCTGCGGGTGTCGACCACACACGCACGCACGCACACACACACATGTCCAGACACTGTGTAAAAACCAACCTCTCCACTCAGGCCGGTGTGTGACAGTGTTATGACCACACACATGTCTGTGTGTTCACCACTGTAGCTGGTTTTATGTGCGTGTCCAGACCTGCTGATCAAAACCAGCAGCAGACTGGTCAGACCTGGACCACCGGTGTCTGTGTGTGTATGTGTTAGCGTCGCCCTGCGGATGTGAGGACAAATTTCTTTTGCCCGTAAACCGTTGTATTAAGGACATTTCGGCGAGTCCTCACATCTTCAAACAGCTTTTTAAAGGGTTAAGAGGGTTTGGGTGCAGTTTAAACACAGCTTGAGAAAAGTAGAGGGGACTGATGAGGGGCACACGGGGAACCAGGACTATTCACGAAAACTGTTCCTTTAGTACCCATGGGATAAATACCCAAACACCCCGAGGTAACGACAAAGAGTTCACCAAAGGAACTGAACCCAGGAACTATGAATTATGTGTACTATACATTTATTGAATTGCAATTAATCGCATGATTTCTTGTGATTAATTGCAAAGTGCAATAACCAATTCAATAGTAGTGTATAGCACCCTTTTTAAAAAAAAAAGTACTACCTTACAAAAAGCCAGAATAGGAAACCAATAGGAATCTTAGTCGACCCAGAACGTATTGACCAATAAACCGACCAGTCTGGGATCCCAGTACTATAGCATAACCAGTCCATGTTCGGTACAAATGTCCCTGAGTGAAGTCAAGCACAAACAAAAAGTTCACATCTGGAATTTACTGTTCAGGGGATTAGTCTGCAAAGTCCATGTTTATACTGTATTTCACTAATGTTTACACCGTTGAGGCCGCTGTTAGCGCTAACGTCTAATGGCGGTGTTTGCACCGGCGTCAGGTGTTAGCGCTAAGGAGCACTAAGGTGACCGCCCCATAAGAAACCTGGGCTGTCCCTGGAGCTGAGGAGAAGACAGGGGACCCAAGCCGCTGTGGCGCAGTGACACAGTGTCCTCACGTCCGCCGTTACCGGAAATAGACGAGTTAACGGCGCAGACCGGACATACTGGGAGTGTTGCATCTTGGTGTCCACAAAAACAGGGATGAACTCTTCTAGGTACCTTTCTGTTGTGTCTGTTGTGAATAATTTTTGGGGTTAAATAAAGTACTATCCTATCCTGTTCCTTAAACAAACAGCTATTGCTACTTGTGGCTTAAATTATGTATAATTAGACAACCACCGTTTTGGTGCGGGTTTTGCCAAGTCCATTCTCCTCTTTCCGGGTTCGCGTGGGTGCCGCAGCAGTAAGCAACAAACTTTTTCAGAATAAAAGCTGTTGAACAACAGACGTACACAATAATACAATACATAATTGTAGAATAAAAGCTGTTGAACAACAGACGTTCACAATAATACAGTAAATAATTGTAAAAAAAAAAAACTGCTATAAAATAATTGTCAGCGTCAAAGAATTAATGAGTTAATGCGATAATAACGCGTTAGAATGCCCAGCTCGAAAAAAGAACCAAGTTGTTACTGTTGTGGTAATTGAAATTAAAGAGAGTTCCGGTACGTAGAAGCAATACCGGAAACGATGTGCATTTTATTTGTTAATATAGTACCAGGTGAACAACACAGAGAAATAATTATCTTTTCATTGCAGGATTTTGTGTTAGGAACACTTTAGCAAAAATAAATAAACAAATAATAATTAAAAAGCAACGCACAGAGACCCAGGGATTTAAACTGGCATATTGTCAGCAGACACAGCTGTAGAGTCAGACTTGTTAAAATAAGACTTGGTTTCAGACATGGCGTGAGTGTGTGCTTCGGTGCAGCACGACTGGAGCCAGTCTACTTTCATTCTTAACATTCACAACAGTTACACGCACATGTGAGCTGAGCTGCGGTCGATCTGCTCCACTGGACTTTCACTAGGCTACTGTCCCTGTCCTAGTTTATAACCACAAGACTGGGCACGAAGCAACGTGACCCATATTGTGTCCCGGGTTATGAAGACATTGTGTGCCATTGATTGCTTTCTACAGGCTTAATTAAAAGAAGGCTCCACATGGTACGACGCTATAAAGTCTCCAGATTCTTTCTTTTCTTTTTTCTTCTCCTTTTCCTCCAAACAATCTATAAAAAAAAAGAGAGAACAATGGCTTTGCTGTCTTTGGTTTAGCTGCTAATGAATCCAATACTTCCCCTTCATGGCAAAGGCTGATTAGAGCAAGAAAAAACACATTTTGTCAGTCTTTTGATGAAGTGCCCTATCTCTCTCTCTCTCTCTCTTTCTCTGTGTGTATGTTACCTCATTAGAACCCTTTCTGGTGTAAACACTGGAAGTGGCCCCCCCAAAGTCCTAATGAGTCAGAAACTTATTTCTGGAACTGTTGTCAAAGTTAGCAATGCTACATAGCCATGTGTGTGAAAATTGGCGGGAAATTATTATAATTACAAAAAAATAGTTATATTGAAATCAACTAGACAAAGTCGTTTTTGTTTGTTTGTTTGTTTGTTTTTTTAAACCTACTTTGTCCTGTTACTTTTGATGTAACTATTTATTGGATTAAATGACCCGAATGACTGAGAACCCACACAGACACATTAGCATTACATTAAAGTATGTCCCATTTGATACGGTTTACAACAAAAGCTACCTAGACCAGTATTGGTAGTCTCATAAATATGGTCTGTGGTTGAGTAGATAAAGTCAGTCAGGAATTTTACCAGCACTGGTCTACATGCCGATGTGGCCCTGGTAGGGGTTAAAAAAAACCCCAAAACAACGAAGAACAGAGATAAATGGAATAATTTTCTGCACAGTTAACAAAGCCAGATGAACAGAAAGTGAGCAAAGCTTTTACACCAATGGCTCATTTGCATGGTCATCAGCATGATTTTGAATACAAGTAGGAATATTTGGATGAAGTCCTACCAAGTCAATGGATTATCAGCTGTGGTGATCCATGAAGAATTAAGCATGTGAAAAGAAGGAAGATGATTATCATAATTGTCTCCAGTGTGTTTATGTTCTCTGTACAAACAAACAACATCTGCGGACCGTCTGGAAGAGAACCGTGGATCCTCCTGAGGTCTCACCCATGTTGTCATTGGGCAATGGGGAGAAACAACAGTGACAGTGGGCAGATGACTGAGAATGACTGAAGGACAACATCAATAACCCATGAATGGGAACAGAACCCGGTACACAGTGACCTTACTTAGTGAACATGTCACTAAGTAAGGAGGGACGAACAATGGCCCGTTGGTTAGTCAACAACCAATGGGCAACGGCAACTGCAAATGACTGTGGATAAAATGGCTGGTAGATGAGTGTCAGACTGTTTCGATGACAGTCAAATTTTCATCTTTGGAAAAAAAAAAAAAAAATCCCAGAATTTCCGTATTTAATTCTTCCCCCCCTTTTTAAAATACTTAAGAGATGAAATGTCTAAGAAAACAGATAAGTGTTCCTAGTACAAGGTCCAAAAACCCACTAAGACAGAAATGTGCGGCTGGTGAAATAGAGAAAGCGATTTATGTCAGTTGCAGTGGATCTGAAACGGCTCTCGAGGCGTCATTTAGGATCACTAAAATCATTGTTTTGACAAGGAGGGGTTGTACGTGCACGTGAAACGGTGCCCCCTGGTGTAAGAGCTTGTGATTCAAAGACAGCAGCAGAAGGAACAGCGACAAGTACATAATGGCCTGGATACGAAATAGGAACAGGGAGAAGC